AAGTTGCTGGGCCTGTGAGTGATAAGGCAGATGCAAGCAACAGTATCTCAGGGACTGACATGAATTCATAACACTATGTTCCAAGAAAGCTTGGGTAGGGGAAGAGTAAGCCTTCCTCAGAGAAGGGGATAGTCAGGAAAGCTTTGAGGAAGCTGTTTGAGTTCGGTCTGTCAAGATGAGTTTGCTAGGCAAAAAGATGAAAGAGGGACGGTCAGAGCAAGTGAGACAAATACAGCGAGTATTATGTGTGTTCAGGAAACTCCACAAGATCTCGACTGGTTGAATCAGGGAGGTGGGAGCTGGGAAGATGACCAGATGTTAGACTGGAAATAAAGATGAAGTCAAGATTGCGTTCTGCTCAAACATACGGTTATTGGGGGAAGGGAGTTTGGGATGGACAAGTACACACTGCTATATTTAAAGTGAATAACCAACAAGGTCCTACTGTATGGCACAGGGAACTCTGCTCAATGTTAGTTGGCAGCTTGGATGGTGGGGGGGTGGGGGCGTTTAGAGGAGAATGGATGCATATATATGTGTGACTGAGTCATTCTGTTGTGCACCTGAAATTATCACAACATTGTTAATCAGCTATACACTAATGTAAAATTTAAAAAAATTAATAAAGGAGTACATTCTCCTTTCTCCCGTTTTTGTGTCTTATGTAAAGTTCAGAGCCATCTTGTATACCTGTCAGGGGCTTAGTACTTAGACAGGGGGAATGTCACCCATGCCTTCATCTCTGTGCTATGCTTAGTCGCTCAGTCATTTCCTACTCTCAGCAGCCCCACTTACAAAGTATGAGCTTTAGTCCATATTTTCCAGTTCTATCACATTGTTGGGTCTAATGGTGAATGAAAAAGAAGAGAGAGGGGAAGGGACAGCTTGGGACTTGGAGAAAAGAGGCTGTCATCCAGTCTTGTTGAGGCATACTCAACAGTTCCTCTAGCCTTGAGGGCTATCTGGTGATCACCTGTAATCCCTTTGGTCCCAAGCCTTCTAAGTAAAATATTTTGGAGGAGGGGTTTGGGAATCTGAGTGTGAATGACAGTAGGGGTGGATGAGTGACAGCAACGGAAAAATCCCATTAACTGAATTGAAAGCTGGCAGATTAGCTTTTAACTATGTTTTTAGCTTGCCTAGTTTTAGCAGGCAAGCAAAACGTAGAAATAATATTCCTGTACCTTTTAAAACATTTTTTTTTTCTAGTCTTCAGTTTGTCCAGCTACAAGTAGGGCAGGCAGTCTTGTGGGGTTTCCAGGTATAAAATCCTAGCATGCATTTTGTGATGGTGCCAGTGCACAGTTATGAAAGAAAAAAAGAAAAACAGTTTCTATTCTGTCCTGAATGCCAAGAAGATATCACTTCTAAGCTGCATGTCAGAGTTAGATATTTATTGGCTAAAACATCTGTCCTAATTCTTCAGTTTCCTGGCTCCTGTTGTAATTTCAACATACAGGGGATTTCCCCTGGCCCTTTCTTGAACATTAATTTTTTTTTGGCTTGTATTTCAGAGGCCAAACTCAGCCCCTTAGATAAATATTCAGGCAACTGTTTAAAATAAGTCCTGTATTATTTATTTATCACATCTGTTAAGAAAGCTGCAAGGATAAAGTAAGAGTGAAAACTGTGTGTTTTGTCAGAATATGAATCTTGCAAGAGTATGTTCAACTGCTGCTCCATCTACACAATGAGTGTTTTTAGATTCAGCTACCCTCATGGCAAAGAATGAATAAATCACTTAGATGCCCATGTTTAGGGTCTGTATGGTCAGTACACACACACACACACACACACACACACACACAAAGAGGCACACACTCTTTGAAGGCTGTGCATGCATTATATTGTGTCCTATTCATTTTTATTCTTGAACTTTTCTTAGAAACAAGTTTTAAGTCCACAGAAATACTCATTTATATATTTTATTTTCTATTACATTTACTTTCTTTAAGATTCTGCACTTATTTTATTAGAAGTAAATAATTACAGGGAAACCAGTTTGGCCCAGAGAAATAGGATCAGGTTCAGAAAGAGGAACTGGGGAGGAAAATGACTCTGTAGTAAAGGAATTCTCATGATGCTTCACTTGGGTCTGGGCTGGAACGTAAGATGAAGTAAAACAGAATTGAGTTAAAGGGAATTGAATCATGTTGAGGAAAAACTTCACAGTATTTCTTGAGGCTGTTTCAGTTTTATTGTCATTCCCTCAACTGAAATTCCAGGCTATGTGTCGACGACTCTTTCTTTTGGAAACACTGTGTGTAAATACATGTGACTCACTGTTACCACAATGCGGTAGTGAATTTAAACAACCATACAGCATGTTCACTGACACCGACATAGGTATCACAATACCCTGTGGTTTCCCAGGTCAGAAACAAATAGAGCAGGTTGTGATTTAGATACCTGTTATCCCCAGGAAGTGACAGCTGATTGTATACTGCTTATTGTAGCAGTCAGAACATAAAAGACATAAGGTTTTGATTACACCCACACTGATTCAGTAATTGTTGTTTTTTTGATCCTGCTCTGCATTGAAGTTTACCTTTGAAACACTTATGAATAAAATCATTTCCTGAGAAAATTGGTAAATGTGTTTTGATGTCCAGTAGGCCAGGAGCATTCTGATGCTTTTTACAAATTCCCTGAAACCCATGTGCTACATTTTGGTTGTCTTTTTAAACTACCTTTAGGTTTGTATTTTTTAGGTGGTGATACTAATTTAAGAATGTGAAAGTAGTAAAACGTATTTGTTAATGTGCACTTTTCTTTTGGCTGGGCTCACATTCCATCCATTTGGCTCTGTTCAGTTGGGATTATATATCGTATCCACCACCTTCCTCTCATCTCTCCAGTTTGTCATACTTCCTATTGACTCCAGAATATTGGAAAAAAAAAAGCCATCCATGTAATCAGTATAAAAATTAATTTATCTTTAGAATATAAGCTGATGGTTATTTCTCATATTCCTTGATAAGTAAGCTTTGGCAAAGAGGTACAAATAAGTGATGATTTTAAGAAGAGAAGCCAGGAAGCCATAGTTTATGTAAGCAGTATTATAAAATGTTTCTTTACTGGAACATTTAGATTGTTTTAAACAAAAAATGTCATAGTGTATCAAAGAGAAAAAAGTCACCTGATCTTTAACTCAGGCATTGCTCTCCCTGGATATCTGGGCACATCCTTTTGTTACTTTGACCTTAATGTTTTCTGGGCCAGTTGACCTCAGTTTTTTCTTATCAGAGCTCAACATCTTGTTCCTTGTGGCCTTATTAACTTCCTGTTTCAGGTCTTCCAACATGATGCAACATGTTCTTTAGACATCAAATTTTCTGTATCAGTTCTTGGCTTTGAAGCCAGATATTCTAAATGGAAGATTATGGACCTGGCCTTGGACCCCAGCTCTGCTGGTCTACTGGCTGTGACCATGGGCACATGAATGACCATTTCTGAGCTGTATTTTTCTCTCTCCATGTGGAGATGACACTTTTTCTGTCTCACAAGGAAGCTGTGAGGATGAAATGAAGTCACGTATGTCAGATGCCTGGCATTAATAACTAAGTTATTTTCTAGAATGTGTTCATTTTGTCGTCCTAATTGCTTTCTGTCATTAAAACAAAACTCAATTCACTCTTTTGCTTGGGCATCCGTTTTCATGGGTGCATTTTCCATTTCTAGTCAGTGTGAGCTTTAGCCTTTCCGAAGCAGTGCTGTCAACACTGCCACATGCATATGTCTCCACTTTTTTGTTTGTTTGTTTTAAATTTTATTGGAGTAAAATTACTCTACAATGTGACTAGAATCACATATAACTCATCCACCCACCTTTCACACTCAGGTCAGAATTGTCCCGAGCTCCTGTTCCTTGGAAATTTTTCTTAGATTAGTGTTAACCCTGGTGCCCTTAAGAAGGCTTATTTTAAGCATTTACAATATGTTCTCAAGTTATTTTCTTCCATATGACTTCCTCTTGCCTCCTGCCTTTGACATATGCCTCCATTTGCCACTAATCACAGTGCTTCCTCATGTGGGTTTTCCACATAAGTTCACCCTCCCCTGGAGTACAGAGAAAAGGCCTTCTGTCTCTGCTGCTGCCACAGTCACATCGGTGTGAAACCCAGTCTCTCAGGCAGAGTGTCTGAGGAGGACGAAAAGAAGCATTGGGACTCTAGCAGAGGTGTTCCAGAGCAGAGATGACAGTGAACGTGACTTCCAGAGATGCGGCACCTGGAAGGCTTGACTGTAGTAAAAATGGGTAGATTATGTTGTAATCTGCAGAGTCCATGATTTTCTTAAAAATAATTACCTTCAGTTGACACTCAGCATCTCACATTTCATTTTCCCTTCTCCATGCTATGTACTTTGGCCCATAGAAGAGGATATACACACACCCCAGTGTATAGACTCTATAGACAGAGGGCTTTTAAGGGAAGATTCATGGTACCTCTGAGGTTGAAAAGTGAAAGTGTTAGTCGGTTAGTTGTATCTGACTCTTTGCAACCCCATGGACTGTAGCCCACCAGGCTCCTCTGTACATGGATTCTCCAGACAAGAACACTGGAGGGGGTAGCCATTCCCTTCTCCAGGGGATTCTGAGGTTGGTAGATTGAAAACAATTTCATTAATATAGATTCTTTCTTCAAAATGTTATGAATTGCCCGATCTGCCTACTCACCTCCAGAAAGTACCTACTGACTCCCGCCTCTTGGGACAGATACCGTTCTCTTTTTTATGTCTGTACAGTAGCCCAGAGCATTGAAATTATCATCAATTAGTGGGTAAGGAAACTGAGGCTTAGAGAGGTTCAGTGTAACTGTGGCCACAGAGTTATTAAATGATCCATTCTTTCAAATTGAGATGCTCATCTTTATACTGTGCTATTTTGCCTTATTTTAGGTATCCATTTTCAATTGGAGAAAAAGCTCCAAGTGAGTTAATTACAGTGGATATAAAAAAAGGAATTCAAATTAGTAATATCATTATCTCTCTGTTCCTAGTGTGTGCGAAGCAGGTAACCGATGAGGCGTCTTCCACCCGAGATTCAAGCCTTCCTAACACAGCAGTGCAGAGCAAGTTAGTGTCTTCCTTTCAGCAACACACCAAAAAGGCTCTCAAACAGGTAAGGTCGCTGGCATTTCTTCTTTGTCTCTCAGTTCTGCCTAGTTAAGATAGAAGGTTATGCATAAAAAAGCAAAATAAATAAGAATGTAGTAATCCGAAAGCAGCAGAGATGCCTTAGATTCAGCCACCCCCTGCTATCTAGTACGCTGACTTTATGCTGCAGACTACGAGAGGCTTGGCTGAGAACTTTGATGTAAAATAGAAGAGGGAAAGTGTGTTTGGAAACATACAAAACTTAAGAGTGTGTGTGTGTGTGTGTGTGTGTGTGTGTGTGTGTGTGATTTAGAGCAAATATATTGCTTGTTCATATACATATTTTGAAAATACTGTCTCTACTTATGGTCTGATGTTTATCTGATAGTTGACGTCAAAAAGAATCTTTCTTGTTACCGAAATGCATTGTTATAAATAAGAAAAATAGCAGTTGTGGCTTCCCTGTATCTTGACTATCCATCAGTGTGTTTGGTGGTGAATAGTATCATCCCCACATTATATAAGCAGTCTTGACCTGTGTGTCCTTGTCCAGAGATGGTGGTGAAAAGTGTGGTTATAACAGTGGACTCGAGAAAGAAAGAAAGTGCTCAGTCGTATCCAACTCTTTGCAACCCCATGGACTGTAGCCTGCCAGGCTCCTCTGGCCATGGAATTCTCCTGGCAAGAATACTGGAGTGGGTAGCCATTCCCTTCTCTAGGGAATCTTCCTGACCCAGGGATTGACCCTGGGTCTCCTCCATTGCAATTGGATTCTTTACCCCTCAGACATAACCTGGTTTCAACCCTTGCTACTCACTGTGTGACGCTGGGTGAGCCATGTTTCTTCTCTGAATCTTAAACTCCTCCTCTAGAAGATGTAGAAAATAAAGTTACCCTTCACCTGGGAATGATCCAAGAATTAAGTGAGGTGATAAGCTGAAAGGAGGTGGTAAAGGGAATGTGTAGCTCATAATAATCACTCAGTGAATGTCAGCTACAGCCGCCACCCCAGAAATGCTGCATGTGTCCAAAAGAAAAGAAAGAGATGCTGTGGGCAGAGGGGAACAATGCATGATTATATTACTGCTAATGTCAGTAAATGCAGAGCTCACTTAAATGCAGAGCTCAGTATTTAGCCCTGAATTCATGGTTTTCCTTTGTTTAACTACTTTCCTGATTTTTTTATTTTCATCATTTTGTGACAGCCACCTCCACCTCACCCCTTGCTGACCCTTACCAAGTCTAGTAATAGAGGTGTCATTCTAAAGGATAGATTTATAAGAAGGAAAAAGAGGCCATGTTTTTAAATAAAGTTAGAAACATTTTTAAAGTCTCACAAGCATATAAACCTACTTAATATTCACATCCAATCTCTTGAAGTTAGAATGTCTCCACCTACTCCTCTATTTCAAACTAGGAAACTTTAAGAAAGAAACAACATTTTTATACTGCATTCTGTTACTTTTTAATTCTGTATTAGCTACTGAAATCACAGTATCTCTCTTCACTGGTATTATATTTAAGGTAGTAACAGTGTTTCATCCTACAGAGGTCAAATCCTGAGCTCGCCATTTGTGTCCTTGCTCTTGTGAAATGTTTTAGATGCCAGAGAACAAAATTAAATTCAGTGTGGAGATCCCTTTTTCCCTGATGAAATAAAGTAGGGATGATGGTAGGGAAGCCTGGGGAAAAGACTGATTCAAGTGGGAAACTGGATGCAGGTACTAAGATACCAACCAGGATGGAACAAAAGATGCAAAACTGGGTACTGCTAACTTGAGCGTTTAAGAAGCATAGATGCAAACGTAAATGAAACTCATACTTCTGAAGAACAATGATTTAGAAACTATGTACACTGTGAATTCATCCTCCGTGTGAATGGAAAGCTATTCATTCACATGTCTTTATTGTCATGTCACATTATTTTTAACTTTCTTCATGTTTGTTTCATATCCTTTGAACTTTTTTTAACAATTGCTAAAACATGACACAGTTTTGAGTTCCTGGGTATTTTTTGTTTCTTTGTTTCATTTTTTTGTAGATCATGTGTCCATGGGAAGTACCACTTGCTTGATTAACATCTAAACCTTACTTTAAGAAGCCAGCCCTGTAAGCTGCTTAATGTCCTGAGAGAGCTATTTGTTAATGCCTTAAAACTTCCTGTTTTATAAAGTTAAATTAAAGTGAAAGTTAAGTCGCTCAGTCGTGTCCGACTCTTTGCAACCCTGTCGACTGTAGCCCACCAGGCTCCTCTGTCCATGGGATTCTCCAGGCAAGAATACTGGAGTGGGTTGCCATTTCCTTCTCCAGGGGATCTTCCAGACCCAGGGATCAAACCTGGGTCTCCCGCATTGCAGCCAGATGCTTTAACCTTTGAGCCTATAACCAGGTAACAAATTAGTCACCCGGACAGTGTGGCACAATATATTGCAGATATGCTAATGTTTGATTAATATTCAAATTTGTATTGAAAATACATTTAGAAGAAAAGCTGTTCTTGTAGAATTTTGTCAGATTCCTTGTAATTGCTGAGTTTCTTAAGGCAGCATTTCAAAAATTGACTGAACATGCAGCATTTTGAATTGCAGCAGCCTCAGCAGATCTGCAGCTTTCTTTTTGATAGTTGAATGGCCATGACCATGTAGAATTCTTTGTAAGTGTATATACTGTTATATATATATGTATGTGTTCTGTGATTGTGAATATGTTTTGTGTATACACATAAAACATAATCTTACAGCATGAATCATAATCTTAAGAACCTAGGGCCAGCCGAATAACCCTAATAATAATTATATTAGCTTGTCATTTATTTTTATGCTTTGCATTTAACAGGCACTATGCCATTTAATCCTCACACAAATCTTTTAAAGTAATCCTTTAAAATATGTTTCAAATGAGGAAGCTACAGCCCAGAGGAACTAGAAAACTTACCCAAGACTGTCCAGTGAGTACATCTTGAAGATGACATTTGAACCCAGAATCATAGTTTCAGATTCTGCCCTCTCAACTATTAGTTCCTTTTAGAATATGCTTCCTAGGTGCATCAGTGGTAAAGAATCCCTCTGCAGTACAGGAGATGTGGGTTCAATCCCTGGGTCAGAAAGATTCCCCTGGAGAAGAACATGGCAACCCACTCCAGTATCATTGCCTGGAGAATCCCATGGGCAGAGGAGCCTGGTAGACTGCAGTCCCGGGGGTCGCAAAAGTCAGACACAACTTAGCAACTAAAAGCAACAACAACGGGAGTGTAATAGGGTACATGGATTTTTTACATTATCCAAGGAAACCTGCATTCCCGAATATTTGTACAATGTAAGGAAAGCATAGTCATTAAGAATATTATTTCTGGGCTTCTCTGACAATCCATTGGTTAAGACTCCATCTCCCAATGCAGGAGGCATGCATTCAGTTCCTGGTCTAGGAACTAAGATCCCTCATGCCGCACAGCGCAGCCAAAAGAAGACATTTTTTTTCAAAAAAGAAGATTATTTCCTAACAAAGACTGCTTGTGTTCAGTATCAGCACGTATTAAAGGTAGATACTTAAATATAGTAGCTTTTATCATTTTACCAGGAGTATATTTTGAGTCAGTAGGGCTTTTGTATTTCAGCTCTATGTTGCTCAGTGTAGGTTCTTAGAAAAAGAAGGTGAAAAAAAATACAGTAGCTTTTTACACGTAAGTATAGTGAAGAAATGGCTTCCCTGGTAGCTCAGCTGGTGAAGAATCCGCCTGATAGATAGGAGACCCTGGTTCAGTTCCTGGGTTGGGAACTCTGAGTCTGTGCTCTAGAGTCCATGTGCCACAACCTCTGAAGCCCGAGAGCTGTAAACTCGTCCTCGGCAACAAGGGAAGCCACTGCATCTAGAGAAAAGCCCACGCAGCAATGAAGATGCCCAGCACAGTCAATAATAAATAAAAAAAATTTTTAAATTGCTTCTTCTAAAACAAACCTCATGCCAAACAAGCCAGATAAAATTCGCCATCTCTGAAACCCCCACCCCCACCCAAAGCATGTTGCCACCGTGAGTGGGTACTTAACTGTGCACTGCTCTTGACTGCAGTGTAATTATAGGCTGGACATTGTGAAAGCTAGAATGCCCCTTGTCTGTTGATGTAGGGTATTTTCATTGCTCCTAATGTTTGGGTCCCTTTAACTTTCTAATCATCGGAACATTAGTTCATATCATATGTGGAGTTTAACTGCGTGAATAATGTGTTGTTATTTCAGTAGTTATTTTTCTGAATAGCATCTTCAAAATAATAATCAGAAGTCTCTGGAGAATAGCAGATTGCTGATGATTACCTTGTTCCCTGTCTTCTTTCTGCCTTGATATTTTAGCTGTAATGATCCTAAAAGGTGTGAAATGATTATATTTTGAATTTCAAGGAAGCATAATTAAGGAAGATTAAATTTTGGAAGTTGCTAAACAGCAGAATCAAAGGCAAGATTAAAAAAAGATGAGCTGTGTTACAAGGGGAGGTAACATGACGGACAACAGAACCTTTCCGTCTTGTTCCTGTTGGTTTCTTTGACCTTCTTCATTATTTATTTAGGATGGTAGAATTTATTCATAAAGTTGCAGATCCTTTTCCCTCTTTGTATCACAAAGTAGACATATTCCTGGTATTTTGCTTTCACTTTATATGTTTGACCAATACTGTGAAATTCCAAAGGTTGTGTTGCCCGATAGCAGTTTCTGAACGTGGGTGTTGACATTTAGCGTACCAGCAACAATGCCCGTTGGTGGTGCCTAACACAGCCAGCTGTTTCATATGTGTGTATTTCTCATTATTTCAGCATTCGCAGCATGTGCTGTTTTCAGATTTTTCAGTGAAGGGCTTACCACATCCAGTGCATTCTTAAATTCCACTGTTGCTCTTCTTTCTCTGTGAAAACAAAAAAAGGTATTACTTCTTTATGTAAATCCCAAGTTAACATAAAAGTCTCTGACTTTAGATTTTACTTTATTTTTCATTGAGGTGGAAATGAGAATTGTTCCATACTTTTAGAGTCTTCCCAA